ATCGCTCCAGCGCTCATCCCGTTTCGATAGATATAAGCTAGAATATACTGCCACAAGCGCCACATAGGCGCCATGTAGGTCGATAGATATCAAAATATAAAGATGAGCCGACATCTGGGATTATTCCTGCCCTGGGATCACTCGGGGCCAATCTCTCGTCGTGGACCTGGACCTTCCTGGGCCGAAAGTAAGTACCTTATTTATTTTATTGTACTTTTATTTGCGTTGCGTTTTGTTAATATACTTTGATCATCATCAAAATATTTCGCTGATTTCTGCCAAAATGGTTGGCTTGTACCGCATATCGAGTCTACAAGTTTTTACCAGGGACAGACACTCGGTTTCTTGAAACATTATCTGACAAAACATTTTTGTCGCCTCTTCAAGGCTGGCGCCTCCAGTTTCACCGCTTGATTTACAGACCTCGTATTTTCCATACGAGGACTTTGGAAATCACAGCTTGAATTAAGGTCCAATCAAAACCGTACATGTCCAACATAATCAAACAAAATCTAACATTTCAAAAACAAGTTTGTTTGTTAATTTTGAGTGACTTTTAGTGAGTGAAACGAATAATGTCATAGAAGGACCAAAATAAAAAATAGCCATTCTTGAAAAGGTCAATAATCAGAAGTTAAGGGAAGCCATAACAGAGGTTTTTTTGTTAATATCTCAAGTGTGTTTTAACTAGCCTGGAAGAGTATTCTTAATACTTTTTGTCTGATTGTCTCATGGTGTGTATAGAGATTACTGAAAAACAATGTTATCCGTTTCTTTTCTGCCAGAAATTTCATTTTTTATACACTTTTTCTTCAATCGTTGTTAACATATATTAGTACAGCTCGGAAATTGTATAGGAATATTCCACTTTTATAAAATATAAAAAAATATAAAACGGGTGACTACCTGTTTTCTTGTCATTTTCTCTCTTCAAAAAGTAAGTAAGAATAAAAGTAATCACCCGTTTCATTCTTCCATAAAAGTGGAATTCACTCATCAGAGCGTTCATATTGCCATATCGGATATGTTCACCAGTATTTGGAATTTCTTTGAAATGATTTGCCGGTCCTCCTTGAAGATGTGCCATTGGCGGTCCAAGCACGGATGTGGTTTCTGCACGGTGAGGCACCTCCGCATTTTCGTTTAGGGGTTCGTGATTTTTTGAATCAGGTATAGTAGAAACGCTGGATCGGAAGGGGTGGACCAATTACACGGCCTTCACGGTGTCCCGATCTAAATCCTCTGGACTTCTTTTTATGGGGACCCTTGAAAAACGAGGTGTACCGTGCAGTTCAGAATATTGAAGAATTGCGTGACCGAATCACAGTGGCTGCCGATAATTTGAGCCTTCAGGCACAGCAGGTGTATTTGAATTAGTGCGCCGAAATTAATAATAATAATGTTTATTTGTAACATACAGCTAGTTAAAAATAGTAGCAAAATACATTTAAATGAGATATGTTAGATTAGACGCGCCCAAGCTTGGATTGCAGTCAATGGAAACAATTTTGAACAGCTTTTATAAGTAAGTGAAATGCTAAACTGTATTTTATTATCTCGATTTCTGTAGGACTTTTATTACATTTTTTTTTTTTGAGAAATCAACTTCTTTCATAACAGTGCATGTGTGGTTCAAGTTTTTCGGATAAGTTGTGAAACACCCTGTATAATAATAATGAAGCATTGATGAAGACAACCCTCATCGATATTGCTTTACCTAACAATAACGACCTGCAGATAATGCTTATGGGAAGATCGCAAAATACAGGGATATCAAACGACAATGGAACATGGAGAATTTTTACACGGTCATCTTGACAACCAGTATTACCACGAAAACTGCTAAAAAATATTAGAAAACCTGAACTAAATGAGAATATCTACTCAATGCTGCAGAAGTTATAGTGGCTACAGGCCGTACAGTACGAAAATCTAAGGGAAACAATAGACTTAAATCCCATCAAACATGACTGTGTGGTATGATGGGGAGGAGACTCTACCACAGCTAATCCACGAAGTTCGAGTTACTTGGAATGAGGTGCCACAACCAGACATCGATCATTTCATTTTGTCTATGCCTAGACGTATTCAGCCGCGGGATCGCATAACACATTATAATTTTTTTTGTTCTTATTACTTGTCAATAAAATTTACCAATAAAATCAAGTTAAAGAAATTGTTGTTCCTGGGTGTAACACTTTTAGTGAGTTAAAAAGGAAACGAGGGTGGGCTGGCCCTAGGTCGTCGGCGCTACTTTAAAAGAGGAAAGGATGACTGCGGGTGCATACCAAGGTAAATTTTTATAATAACAGAGTCGGACTTCGATTAGCGATCTAGAATGTAAATCGTTTCTTATTTTGGTACTCAGCAAGTGATCATTTAGTATTTTTCTCCCCTTTTACTGTTCGTCGATATTGTGTTGTTAAATTGTTGTGCTGTACTCTTGTACGTCTTGAGTGCCTTTTTTATCAATGCTGATAATGGACAATAAAGGGTCATATGCGACCATTTTAATTACGAATGCAGTGAGTTTAATACATGATGAGGTCAACAATAGTGTGGGGCCACAATACCCAGCGGCTTGTCTATGTGGTCTAAATACATTTGCGTTCTAAGCTTAGTCCAACCTCGCTTATCGCTAAGATGGAACAAAGACTCAAACGCAAGAATCTTCAAAAGAAACTCACACCAAAAATTGCTGATATAAAAATAACTAACAATTCGGATAGCAAATCCAAAGAAAATGAATAGTTTTATGGCGAATTCAGTCAAAAACCTGACATTAACTACATTGATTTGGAGGTTGCTAAGCGAACATTTTTAGGGAAACTTAAAAAAGTAAAGACGAGATTTTGCAGATCGAACAAGTCACCAAATCACAGGATTGTACTTTGTCGCGCCTTTATTGGAGGATAAGGTTGACAGCGTCTCGATTTTGTGAAGTTTGTAGAAGAAAGCAGACAACAAGCTGTAAAGTTCTAGTAAACTCCATCTTATACCCAACAGAGTTTTCTAGTAAGGCAATAAAAAAGGCAATTCAAAAATCATTGGACACCGCAGTTCAATCTTGTGGTTTGTTTATTGATCGCACACATCCATTTCTGGCAGCATCGCCCCCATCTACCTATTACAGTAGACAAGAAATGTACTTAATCCAGGTACAAGCCTACCTGTTTATTGCTTTGCAAAAACTACCTAACTGTTTCCTCTTATTTTGACGGCATACGACATTTTTATGACCCTCGTTCAATTGTTACCATGTACCACATGACCCTTGTAAACATAATTGTGTTTATTGACATGAATAACCGAATTTGAATTTGAGTTCTTGAATTTATTTTAGGAAAGATATCAAATTATTTGAATACATTTTTTCTTAGTCGGAACGCACCGTCGTGTTGCTTGGACTGGCAGGACGAAACACTAGACGAATTGCGCCCAAAAACCGATTTGCACTTCACAGCTTACGCTTCATTTTTTATTATTTCCAAATGAAACTTGCAGTGTGCTAAAAACAAAGTCCACATGGTGCTTACGATTCACTTTTTCGATTTAATCCACTAGGATTTTTAAAATATCAAGAAGTTGAGCACAAATAGTAAGCATTATTCTTGCGCAAAGACAATATTTTGTAAAAAGCTCTGATAGCACCCTAGGCAATTATGTCCTGCTTATATCCAGAAAAACATCACAAACTTCAGAACACAAATTGAAGGTAACGGGGAAATGGGTACATAAATTATCCTTCTCAAAAACAAATTTCCTTGACATATCTATAATTTTGAAGTTCCACGCTAAATTCCTCTATACTTGACTGGAGTGATATCCGAATTCATTCTTCCCTACTGACCCTACAATTTTTTTCTGTCAATGATAAGGAACCCCTGTAACGTCAAAAACGGAGTTTCAGCAATTGTTACTTTTTCTTTTTTGCCTATAGCACCGTTGCCACTGGACTAAAACTACAAAGGTTTGGCATACTAGTAACCCCGTGTGGAAATTTCATAAAAATCCGAGCGGTAATTTCCAAGTTGATGATGAGTGATATAGTTTTTCGTGATGTAGGTGTCATATGACTTAAAAAAACATAACATCTCATTTTAGAAATTCTTCTATTCAAGTAAAACGGCTTTAAAATCGAGGAGTATCAGCGATCGCGAGTATGAGTACCTATTTGCAGAACGACTTATCTATGCGATATTATATGAAATAGGGCCACCAAATTATCTGAATACATCCTTTCTTAGTTCGTAACATTGCCCTGCAACGCTTGTGTTGGCAGCACGAAACAGTAGACAAAATTCGTCCAAAATACGATTTGTAGAGGTTTTGCGTGCTTTATTTTTTGATATTATTAAATGAAATTTTCACAGTGTGCTGAAAACAAAACCGCACAGGATGCTGTTGAGCTACTTTTTCATTTTTTTCACTAAATTCTTTTTAAAAAAATCGCGATGTTGATCAGAAAAAGTGCGCACTTGAACCCATCATAATACTTGTGCAAAAACAAAATTTCAAAATGTGCTCCTGTAGCACCCTCGGCAATTATCTTCTGAACATACTCTATGAATTTCATTCAAAAATATTGAAAAATGGAGTGTCAGTTTCGAAGCAGCTCAACCCTTGTAAATGACTTGAAACTCACTGCGTCGGGGCCGTCTTAATTAGTGACTCTGGTATGAAATTATAGAATTTTGGTCGAATACACTGAATTTTTATTGTACTAATATTTTTAAACAAGTTACGATTGAAAATGCACATTCTTAGAAGCACAGAAAATGCATTTTTTGCCAAAAAAATTATAGATGTTTTTTAGTCATCCTTGTACATACCATGAAAAAATCAGATGAAAAGGAATAGATAGTTGAAAATAAGGGACCGGGACATGTTTGGTTTTGTATGGATGCTCCTCGATTTTTCTGGACAATTTCCACATACCACCATCTGGCAACACCGCCATGTAGCATCCAGCATCCCTCCGAGTAGCTGTAACGACGCCTGGCACTACAGCGTCGCGGCAGGGGTGTCGCCACGACGTCTCTTGCACCCTCCGCGAACAATTGAACATCATCGCTTAGCAACCGGTTTTCGCTCAACACTTACGCGTCCAAGATTTGTCATGATGATGACCTAGGGTAGTGACCTAGTGACTGTGTCCAGAGTGCGTTGTGCTGCAGCCTCTCTAAAGAGACTGTTGCTCCTGGGGCATGTCATCAGACACCGGTAATGTATTAAGGTTGTCTTACATCAGATTAGATTCAAAAAGCCTCCTTATTGGATATTTCTGTATACCTTAATCATTGAATCGTTACGTCCGTCACAGTGCTCTTCAAGAAAATCTCTAAGTTCACTGTCAGAAACAAAAACGATTACAGGTAACAACCGCCCTGTTTATGTGCCTACTGTCTGTTGTGTATTGTGTGGCTTTCTCTGGATAAAAACTATTTGTCCTGAGGATACATATCACCAGACACCGGTAATGTATTAAGGCTATCTCACACCAGGTTAGGTTCAAAAGAACTCGTTGTTGGATATTTCTAAACAATATAACCTCTGAGGCTATCTGTAGTTGTTCTCTCTTGAACATTATTCTTCAAGAAAATCTCTGAAATGCGTGACAGGAACAGAAACGATTGCATGTAACAACCGCCTTGTTATGTGCTTAGTATCTGTGACTGCGATGATATAGGGTTGTGACCCATCGACTGTATCCGGAATGCAGTGTGTTGCTTCCCCTGGATAACGACTGTTGCTTTTGAGGGGACATGTCAGCAGACATCAATAATGTATTAAGACTGCCTCTCACACCTGCTTATTCCAAGATCCACACTAAAGAGCTTGGTTTTTAAAGTTACAGTCTTTTTCAAAGTACAAACTGAAGCCGCCCTGCGCTCAAGTTCGTGTCCAGGTTCTGTCACTATGATGACCCAATGACTGCGTCCAGACCGCGGTGTGCTGTACAACGTGTAGATAGAGACTGTTGCTCCTGGTGAGAAATGTTACCAGATACCAGTAATGTACTCGAGCTGACTTACACGAGATTAGGTCCAAAAAGCCTCATTGTTCAGTATTTCTAGATAACTTAACTTTCAATAATAATAACAAACCGTCTTTAATTATCAAAAAATTCAGTGTAAAAAAAAATATATATAATACCACTGGCGAAGGCTAGCTGACAGCTACTCTACTCAGCCATTGGAGAGGAGCACCCAAATAAGCGAATAATTGGAACTTATTAAATAATTTGTAATTACATATGTCAAAATCGATAAGGTAGACAGAAAAAGTATACATATGATGAATAACATAGAGCAACACATGTACAGATTATGCTTTTAACTTTTAAAAACTATACAGGGCGTACAAAGAAAGGAACAACACATGCTATGTTAAACAGATCTAGCCACACTTGATATCAATATTGCTTTTATATACAGGGTAGCGCATCGAAAACGAAACAGACCCCAACTAGCAAAGTAGTGGTATAAGCTTTTGGTAAAAGTACCGTTCAGCCATAAAAGCTCTCTATTGTTGTTGCCTGAACACCAAAATGCTGGCTTAACGTTGTGTGGAATGCAAATTTGCTTTCTGCAACATATTTGCTCTACAATGAGGTGTTTAAAATATTCTTATAGCATAGTTATACAACACCTTATAGGGCAAATTTTTAACTGTCGCATAAACGTTTATACAACTATTTTATACGGCATACTTGCAGGTTAGTCAAAATGGTTGTGTTGTGGCATCCATGGTAACGTTTATAAAACAAACCCGAGCCTTGTTGTTTTGCTGTGCAATTTACTACTTTAGCCAACAAATTGCTCCCAACGGAAGCACTTATACAACTGTTGTTTAGTAACTGTTAAAGGCTGTACATGCTAAATATGTTGGTATACAACCTCACCATAACCTAACTTTCTGCTGTCATATTTTTGTTAAAATGCCATAACCAATGTTTTAATACAAACAACGCATGCATATTGGTTCAAAAGGTTTTATCAATTGTTCAAACAGAAGATATAGATCTGGTACAAATTCTGGGTAAATCATTCGACTCTGTCGGTATTTCATTTCAGACATTTGTCAAATTGTTGCATAACACCTGCAGGCAACACCAAAATATTCTAATAACCTAAAGACGATGCCATGATTATACACAACCACCCGCCATATTGGGCAAACATTTATTCCTCTATTTAATAATAATTATGTTTCAGTTCGAAATTATGGCTATAAAGTGATAAACATTAGTGTAATTGTGTCTAAATATAGGATTTGTGGAAGATTAAACGCAGATAAGTTCAGTTTTCCATCTTAAAAATCTAGACATACTTTTGATCATTATCAAAATATGAATCAAATACGAAGCCCGTAGAAATTGCGTAACTAATTTGCACGATAATCACAATAAAATTTGTCGCGCAGGTAATTCAATAGCCCTATATCGCAGTGTAGAAGTTTATCATATACATGTCTTTGAAACTCACAATGGCCGATATGTAAGTAAACAAGATGACTGTAATGTGTTAGTTATATATTCTTCACTTCGTCTATGCAATACATAAGAAATAGTTTGGTTGCAATAAAGTAGAATCACGTAACAGAATAGTTGTATAGTTGACAAAAACTGAATCTTGCACTGACGCAAATTTCCTATAGCGGCTGCAAGAGGCTTACACTTTTGTTGTATAACTGTTACCTGCAGCCCTTAAACAACCTCTTAAATGACTGAAGTGTCCTATTAGGTAATGCCCATTCCGCTTGTATAGCTGTTCTAAGAGGGTTTTCCCCAATGTTCTTACAGTATATAATGCTGTTTAAGGAATACTGTATACGTATAATCATTCTTGCAACTCTAATAAGAGTGATAATTGTTAGTTGGGACGCATTTACTGGCAGCTCAGTTTTTTTTTGGAAAAACGCTCAGACCCGTCGATTTTGTTTTCGAGGGGGACACAAGTTTGGCAAAAAATCACGTTAGCACGTGCAGCCCCCTAAGCGGGGGTGACACCACCCCCAAAATCTTAAATGAAAAGGGGGGTCGAGTGATACCTTATTTTAAAGGTCTTTCAATTCCTTTATAATGATATAAGATTACTTCAGTTCAGTAGTTTTGAAGATGTATTGACTTAAAGCTTAAATAAAACTAATACATCATCATTAGTGGAGATCAATACATTTGGCAGCAAAGTCATTTAAAAATGAAGAATGAACAGACCCGTTAGGCAAGTAAATGTTGCAAATGGTGATTAAAATATCTGTAGTTACCGTAGCTAGCGATGTTTCAGTACTTCTTCTTTGAGGTTTTTCTGTAGTTGTTTCATCTACATCATCCTATCTCGAAGATTACTTTGTCCATTTTTACAATGTGTTTCTTTTCATGTATAAGATTAATGATTCGATTAATTAGAATGCACATTCATCTAAATTTCAATTTCAGCACAGACAAAATTGTCGTTCATTATAAATCCAAATACATACGCACTAACGTATGCACTGAATGTTTTGATTCGCTGACTTTAATTTCAACAGACACAAAATAATATTAAGCTGACTTTTGAAACAAAAGTTTGTTTACTTACTTTACTGTCAGTTGACGTTTATTTTTTTTCAAGTTTTCATTTTAAGATATCGTATAAATTAGAAATAACAAAAAGTATATACAAGTTGGTTGGGTAGGTCACGCAAAACCATTTATCGAACAATAGCGGATGTCTGAATCTCCCAAAAAGTGGAAGACCACGTGCATTTACTGCACAGAGGTCAGAAAGATTGGTGAGAAATTTGCAGATAAAATCCTTGTCTTGTGCGCAATTTCTAAAAGGGGTGTATCCCAACCTTTTTTTGGGAAGAGTGAGAGGTGAAGCTTTGAATAGTCAGTGCTATATTGATAACTGGCAAATAATATAAAAAATTAATGATATACGCGGTATTCTATTTAAAATAGGCAAGTTAGTATTTACTTTCGGTACAACAGGAGTCGCCACTTTTGTAAATATTCAAGCTGAACTGCTTCTATCAGTTGTACTATAAATTCCAATTATTACAAGTGTCTCACGTTAACTTGGGACACTCGTAGGACACTCTGTATAAAAACTGGAGTGATTGCACTTAGCGTCGACATCAGGTCATACAGGATTATACTGGGTGTAAACATGGGGGTCAAAACGGCATTTTTTTAGAGAAAATGCGACTTTAAAGTAAAATAAAATCTGACAACGCCGCAACGCCAGACGCAAATTACGGCGGAACGTAGTGTAAATAAAGATGTAGTTTGTTATTTTTGGCTCTTAGATATTATTTCATTATTTGATAATGTACTCGTAAAATGCAAACAAGTAAAAAAACGGACTTACCACTAACTGTCTCAGCGTTTCACCTAGTGTGTGAAAGTTTATTGAATCCACTTATAAATAGGGAACACAATTTTGATACATACACTGTTTTTCTTTTTAAAACACACACTGCACTTTTTTGGATTTAAAGAAGGTGTTCAAAATGTCGTCCTCCACTTTACACACAAGCTTCATTACGACGAACCCAGTTTCTTCTTACTCTAGGTCCTCGAAGTTGTCCATTTATTATTTCAACTGCATTAAATTTTTTTTTCGCGAAGTTGTGCTTCAGTTGTTATTGGACCAGCCCCATAAACCATCCCTCTAAGTTCTCCCCAATACCAGAAATCCATCGGATTGAGGTCAGGAGATCTTGCTGGCCATTTTCGAGGATCAGGAACAAAAGCATTTCGACTGATCCAGCGATTTGGATAATGCTCATTTAAATACTGAATGACCCCTCTAAAAATGTGTGGTGGTGCTCCATCATAAACAAACCACAAATTTTGTCTCCATTGTAAAGGCATGTTGTCTAAAGTCTGTTCCAAAAGTTCTGATAGGTTTTTGGCTAGAAAGCTACGGTATCCTTCTCCTGACAACATTGGGGGTAACTCGAAAGGGCCAATTGCCTGATCTTCAAGAATACCCGCCCAAATATTTATTTTAAAACGTTGTTGGAAATGACCATCACGAATGGTATGAGGATTTTCTTGGGCCCACGTGTGAGTATTATGGAAATTTAATATTCCGTCTTGCGTAAAAGTACACTCGTCCGTCGCTAGAATGTTTTTAAAAAAATCCGGATTTTAAATGTTTTTGTGCAAAAACCACTGACAGAATATTAGTCTGCGAGGATCGTCTTCTGGTAACAAGGCCTGCACTCGTTGT